GGGGGGCCGAGCCCCCCCTCTGGCCGTCCCCGCTCTCCCGCGCTCTCCGCTCCCGAAGGGACTCGCCAGTCCCACGTCACCTACGCCCCTCGTGACCCGCCGCAGCCTCTCCGTGACCCGGCTCCACCACCCCGAGCCCTCCCTCCCCCCCCCTCCCTTCTCCCCCCCCCTCCCCCCCGCGCTCCCCCGAACCTCCCACTGCAATCCCCCCCTGTGTGCGCGCAGCCCCTCTCCTCCTAGGTTCCTGGCGTTCTCCCTCGGCGTGTGCGTCTGCCGTCGAAACGCCCGCCTCTCCCACCGCTCTCGCGAGTCCCACGAGTGACGCCCCGTGTCCACCGCTCTCGCTCTCCCGGCGCCCTCCGCCCCTCTCCCCCTCGCCGCCCCCCCCCCCCCAGCTCGCGCTCCGGGGCGCTCTCCGCCGCCGCTCTGCGGGGGGGCTCCCGCGGACGGCCTGGAGCGGCCCCCGAGGCCCGCGGACGGCCGTGCGAGCCGGTCCTCCGCCCTCCTGCCGCCTCCGCTGACGCCGCCGCGGCCGCCGCCGCCACCGCCGCCGGCTCGCTCCATGGCAGATCGCTGCGGCTTCTTGTCGTCGTTGCTGTTGCTGTTGAGGGTTGTGATGCAGCGAGAACAGCTCCCTGTATCATCACCACCACCACCAACCACCACCACCACCATCACCACCACCACCACCACCATCACCAACATCACCACCACCACCAACCATCACCATCATCACCACCATCATCACCATCACCACCATCACCAACCATCTCCACCATCACCACCATCACCAACCATCACAACCATCACCACCATCACCACCACCATCACAACCATCACCAACCATCACCACCATCCCCAACCATCACCACCATCACCACCACCACCACCACCACCATCACCACCACCATCACCACCATCACCACCATCACCACCACCACCACCAACCATCACCAACCATCACCACCATCACCACCACCATCACAACCATCACCACCATCACCACCATCACCAACCATCACCACCATCACCACCACCATCACCACTACCACCACCAACCATCACCACCATCACCACCATCACCACCACCAACCATCACCAACCATCACCAACCATCACCACCATCACCACCACCATCACCACTACCATCACAACCATCACCAACCATCACCACCATCACCACCACCATCACCACCACCATCACAACCATCACTACCACCATCACCACCACCAACCATCACCACCATCACCACCACCATCACCACCATCACTACCATCACCAACCATCACCTACACGGGGGACCTTTGTCTGTGTATAGCTACTAACAGCACTTGCCCCTACAGCCTGCTAGAGGCTACACGGGGCACCTTTGTCTGTGTATAGGTGCTACTAACAGCACTTGCCCCTACATCCTGCTAGAGGCTACACGGGGCACCTTTGTCTGTGTATAGGTGCTACTAACAGCACTTGCCCCTACATCCTGCTAGAGGCTACACGGGGCACCTTTGTCTATGTACTTGATTTGACTCACGGGGGGGGGGGGGGTAGCAGCCCAGCCCCAGCCGGCCAAGGTGCGACCTCGGCCGGCTGAGCAATCTAGCCGAGACCGGTGGCACTCCCCGGGACTAGGCCTTACCGCAGGGCTCACCGGCGCAACGCTGCGTCGACGTCTTGGGGAGGGGGTCTTGAGTGATTTTCTCCGTCGTTGTGAGCTCACACACTCAACAATGTCCTCGTGTGGAGTGCAGCAGCAGCAGGAGGAGGAGGTCCGACGTCGCGTGCCGACACCTCGGGCAGGAGGCTGCAGGCAGCTGCGATCTCGTGAGATTGGCAGGGCGCGTTTATAATGCGTAGTGCGGATAGGCGACCACGTGACGCGAGTGCGACTCGGATTCCGTAGAACTGATAAGACTGCGCGCTGCGCCGTAGACTCAACACTGCGGCTCAGCCGACGTTTCAGGTCCCCTGGGGGACGTGCGAGTCACGTGGTGGGGTCTGTGACGTCACGGGGCACACGGCTGACTGGTCCACTCCTGCCAAGCTCGATAATATTTTTTCTATATTTTTGTATTTCTCGTCACATCTCTAACGTCTTAACAGGGGCTTCAAAACAGCAACATCGAGAGCGACAAGAGGTCAGTGTACTTCCAGGCTGGTTCACCAATGTGAAGATGTCACAGACACTAACGCTGGGAAGTAACATTTAAAATTTGATTTAAAAAAATATTGCGCTTGGAGAATGCGGGAATCGATCCCACGTATCTTCTACTTCTTGGTTCTTTCGGTAAAGTCACGTAGAAGGGAAGTAATAAAATAATAAAAATAAAACATAATAAAATAATTCTCACGACGTTTCGGCCACAACGCAAGCAGCCGTCCTCAGGTGAAGACCAGGTCTGTCGGGGAGACAGAGTCTGAATGAAACAGCACACGAGCTTGGAGCATGTATATAAGCTGGGCGTCTTGACAAAGGAATTTGCATATCAAGATGAATTTAGCATATTTATGGAAAATGCAGGAATGTGATTAGTGCTACATATGCCCGTGCATTATGCAGGATTAGCAGCATCAAAGGGAGAGGATATGGGAAATGCAGGAATGTGAATAGTGCTAATTCATCATCAAAGGAAGGGGGTAGGGGTAGCATTAATCAAGGGAAGGAGTGTTAATAGTATGTAGCTGCAGTAACTAAAACCACCACGTAAACAACTAAAGTATAAACTACATAGCATCATCAGTATACTTACTATACTCTACAATAAGCTGAGTTACTAACTGTAAGTTATACATTACAATTCTACGTCGTAAAAATTATATAATATGCTTCCATCTAAACTTTCTCTTACATCACACGAGTCTACACCGTACTATATACTGCCATAGACAAACCCAACATTAAATTATATACTGTATTACTATAAACCACTGTGTATTATTCTACTCACCCTGTGTATCACACTGCTATTTATTTACTATACAATTACGATACTATATATTACTTTGTTCATTGTATTAAGCATAGAGGATATGGGAAATGCAGGTATGTGAATAGTACTAATTCAGCATCAGCAGCTACATACTATTAACACTCCTTCCCTTTATTAATGCTACCCCTATCCCCTCCATTTGATGCTGAATTAGTTTAGAGAGACAAGAAACTTTAGAGAGACACGAGTCGTATTGAGGAGGCACTCTGTTTTATTGTCGCCGTCACAGGCAACGATGCCAGGGTCAGGACAGCAACAGGCTGCTGGCCAACAACGATGCAGACGATGCCGAAGGTGATGACGTAGACTTGTGCAGCTCCATGGATTCCACTCCAAACAACAACAATGACAAATTTCGATTTAAAGCTTTCGTGACTGCAGGGATTCATCTTCTTGGTTCTTTCGGTAAAGTCACGTAGAAAGAAATAATACAAATAAAACATAAAATAATTCTCCACCTGAAGATGGCTGCTTGCGTTGTGGCCGAAACGTCGTGAGAATAATTTTGTTTTATTTTTATTATTTTATTATTTTCCTTCTACGTGACTTTACCGAAAGAACCAAGAAGATGAATCCCTGCAGTCACGAAAGCTTTAAATCGAAATAAAATTATACAATTTTTTTAAAATTTACTTGCTGTGGTTTTCACACCTGACGATGATTGCTTGTGTTGCAGTCGAAAGGTCGTGAGAATTTAATTGGTTTATATTTTTATTACTTTATTATTTCCCTTCTACGTGACTTTACCCGAAAGAACCAAAAATATGAATCCTTGCAGTCACGAAAGCTTTAAAAACAAACACTGCCGTTACCTGTGACTGCACTAATCTTACTTGTGTGTGTGTGTGCATTAAAACCTGGATTGTATTTCTGAGGGCAAGAGTTTGGAATGTCTTTTGGTAAAGGAGCACGAAGTCACATTGCATCCAGACCCCCCTAAACCCTTCTAGATGCAAGTCAAAATTAACAAGTGCAATGTACAGGTTTCCCTCGCTGTCTGCGCTAGTAGAAGATGCGTTTCAAAAAGGGCACACAAAGCGACACCGCACAAGGATACAGCTGCCTGCCGAGTAGCGTGGACAGTACACACACACAATCTTGTCCTACATCCGAGCGCGTAGCCGCACGTGACTTAAGTGAAACCGCATCTCGCGAATTTTGGGTATGAACCGGCTTGCCCCATAAACAGCGCAAAATCGCACAAACAGGAAGCCGTATAATGCGAGGAGAATCTGTAGCTCTTCTCTCGCAGACGCAAACTTGGGCTGCGCGTCCTGGGAACACAATATCGGTGTGTAGCCGCAAGTTAATAGCTTCTTGGTTCTTTCGGTAAAGTCACGTAGAAGGGAAATCATAAAATAATAAAAATAAAACATAATAAAATACAATTCTCACGACGTTTCGGCCACAACGCAAGCAGAAGAACAGGTCTGTCGGAAAGACAGCGTCTGTCTTTCCGACAGACCTGTTCTTCACCTGTTCTTCTGCTTGCGTTGTGGCCAAAAGCGTCGTGAGAATTGTATTGTTTAATTTTATTATTTTATTATTTCCATTCTACGTGACTTTACCGAAAGAACCAAGAAGATGAATCCCTGCAGTCACGAAAGCTTTTAATCGAAAGATAACAGCCGTTTGAATTTTGGGCCACGTCTTTAAATTTCAGGACAATGGGTTGAGAGTTGTGCAGTGAGGCCAGGATGAAAACATTTCTAGTCCGGCCAATATCTCGTGAAGTCATACAGAATTATAACCAGTCTTGCGTTAAAGTTTACACCAAACACTCGTGCTATATAACAATAAACTAAATGCAGAACGAAACTGCTCTACAGACTCTAACGAAAAGCATTAAAACTAAGTTATTCAGATGATTTTCATCCATGTGCTAACAAAAAACGTGCTATTGAATTGGAATAAAGGGCTTTCACTGTTAAACTGTGCCTCAGATTTCAGCCACGGCAGCTGAGGTTGTCTTCGGCGGTGGTTCAAGTCAGTCTAGCAGCCAGTGCTTTAGGCCGTGGCTGCAGGCAGCGAGCAGTCACCTCACAGCGGGCTGCGGCAATCTCTACGGTGGCAAGTCAGGTCGGCTTACAGCAGACCGCACCTATTGAGGCATGGCGGGTCTTGTATACGTTGAGTAATGGCAAGTTGAGTTGCACTTGGGCTGTCAGTGGTAGTAGCCCTTGGCGGTTGAATGGGTAAGTGCTTGTCCCAGACAAGGCCATGGTTCAGTGGCAAACCGTGGTAGTGCTCAGAGTTTGGAATGTATCACTCGCAGACCGTGGCAAGTGGAATGGCTTAGTGGCTGACTGGGACATGTCATGGCATGTTGAAAGAGTCAGTGGCTGGTGGCTGTGGCGGGCTGTGGTGGTCCATGGTGATCTGTGGTGATCTGTGGCGGGCTGTGGTGGTCCGTGGTGATCTGTGGTGATCCGTGGTGATTTCATGTTGAGTCAGGGTGGAGAGGCGTCAGCTTGGCTCGTTTCGAGAGGCCAAGATGCAAGGCCGGACCTGATGTGGTTAAAGGGGGGGGGGGGTTAGGCTACGACAGTAACACACGTTAACTCACATTCTCAACGATTTTCTAAGTCGTCATTATTTCTGGTGACATGGAGGGGCCTTCGTTCATAGGTGGATAAACAAAGGACTGCAAACCATCGTGGGATTTTTCATCATTATTGTAAAGTTACTCTGAGGATTACACACACTTAGTTGCCACGTGACCATTGACTCCTCCAAAGTAAGTAGAAGAACGTCGTCATTTGGAGTCACAATTCGATGAAAAAAACATTCTCTTTTTGAAACTTTTTTAGTTTTTTCTGCTTCCTTTGAAGAGTTTTGTCTGCTCCATTAGCATTCCGCATACACACACTCAGACATGCTCTATCCACTGCGAGATGAAGGCCTCTCCGAAGCTGCCGCCATCCCTCACGCTCGCACAACAATGAATCTAGCACACACACTCGGATATCCTCGCTCCGTCGACCCCGCAAGTGGACGTGTTCCCACTCCGCCGTGAGTGTCGCTCACGGCGAGGGTAGCAACACTCGGCACTGCCAGGTGCAGACCATCTCGCGCTCTCACACCTACATCACCCGGAGAGCTACGGTGGTCATCACTCATCAAGGCCTCGATACAGAGACGTTGCTTTCTCTGTGTGCCTATGTTTGTTCCCTCTCTCTATGTATCTCTGTGATATCTGTCTGCTTATATGTCTGTCTATATGTTTCTGGTTCTGTGTTTTTATCTCTCTCTCTCAAATGTAGTATTCTCAGGAAGAACATAATCAACCAGGTAGGGTGTAGACTGTTATGTTATCCGACTCTCTGTTGTATTACATTCCATTTCTAAGTATACTAGATTTGTGTTTCTATTTCATTTATTCCTGATGATGATTGCTTGTGTTGCAATCGAAACGTCGTATGCTAGTATTTAATTTATTACTTTCTCTTTATACGTGACTTTACCGAAAGAACCAAAGAGTCATTCCTGCAGTCACGAAAGCTCCAAATTAAGATTGTACTTAGCAGGCTCAAATCCCTGCTTAGCTTCCTAGACAGACCCAGTGGAGGTGAGGCACATCCATGGATGGTTTCATCGTGGGAAAACGTGAAAGGCGTGCGAGTTAGAAACACGTGCGCTTGTGCCGGCCGTGGTTTCGATGCTTTGTCCTTACCTGGAGGAACCCACTTGGGTAGAGGCGATGCGGTGGCACGATCCGCGACGCCGGCTTCGTTGAACGCGGGCGGGGGGAGGCGCTTCGCTGATTGCCGAGGGGCAGGATCTGGCCCGACATCCGCCCCGGCTCCACGCGCCGCGCCCGTTGTTCTGCTGCCCCTGGCCACGGCGGCTTTGCTCCCTCTCCTGTTGGCGGTGGCGGCGGTGACCCTAGGCACCTTGAACTTCCAGAAGGGCTTCTTGTGGTCGCTGTCATCGCTGTCGGACTTCCCAGCGGACTCCGAGGACTCGCCCGTCTCGTTGTCTGTCGTGTTTTAGACAACATGTGATTACCCGTCGTCGTCGTGGTCGCTGCATTGTGGACACTGTTGTTTCATATTTCTGATCGGTCAGAATTACTTTACCAATAAAAGCAAGTATTCCAATGTGGTCATGGCACGTATTGAATGTTTGCCAAATATTACTATTGAAAATTTTTTTTTTGGGAACAATACAGTCGTAGTGATAGTGCTACAGAGTCAACTGAAGCTTCAAATCAAGATTTTATCTCGACTTTGAAAAATCAATAAAGAATACGATACGATTTAGGAAAAAGCCAGCAGGAGACTGCTGTGTGGTTTGAACAGAGGGCAACACATGAGCATCCTCAGTGGCCTGGCACTGCCATGCAAAACTAAACAACTTTGTGTCATCAGGTAAGGCCCACTGAGCCAAATGTCTCTTCTTCAGAAGCGACTTGGCTATCACAAATGGTAGCTCAAGAAAGTGAGCAATTATCACGTGGAGATGTATCGCGGCGAAATATTCTAAATGTAGAGGGAAAACTGGAGGACCCGAAGAAAAATCCACGTGACCACGGGGAGAGACACGCAAACTCCAAATATACAGCAGCAGGCGTCAGGGTCGGGATCGAACGCACGACCTTCTGTACACCAGACGAGGAAGTGAAACATCTCCTAGCCACCGTACAAACACATAGATTCCCCGTACAGCCATTCAGAGGCTGTTGTGGCAGCTGCCGTGAGCGAGCACGTATGAAGGTCGGCACGGCATACATGGGGGTGGATGGCCAGCACCACGCCTGGAATTGCACCAAGTACTCATTTGAGGCTGAGTCGACCTCGGAGAGGCCCAGGACTGGTTCATATAATCGTTACTGGTGTTGGCAGTGAGCATCATACATGTCCACACACGTGCAAACATACAGAAAGCCACAAATCTGTAGAGTCTCATACCGGGTGGGTCGTCCGTGTTGACGGTGGCACTGCCCACGGCTTCCTGTGAACTCTCCCGCGAAGACGCCGCCACTTCCGTCTGATCACCAGCGAGGGCAAGGACCTCCTTGAGCTCCCTCTCAAAGAGACGCTCGTCGTCCAGGGACGGTCTGCGCAGAGTGGCGCAAAGTGCGATTGCAAACGACGACAATGCACAGAGGTTGGTGTGGGCAGTGCAATCTTCTTTCTTCTTATATATAAGAGTCTCCGCGCGCTTGCGGGGGATTTGGCTCTTGGACGGTGGGCTTCACATAGAAATAACATTGCAGGCGGCACGCCCTAAGCCCCGCGGTGGGAATAGGCTATTCCGTTTCCCCATCCGTAAAGTTTAAAGTTGTTTAATTAACACATTTGTGCGGTTTCTATTATTAATTACTTACTTATTGCTCGACATCGACCGTACCAACTGACGCCAATTGCGTGGGGGGGGGGGGTAGACACTGCCAAGTGATGCGCGTTCGCACGAGCTCATTTCCTTTTACGCGTTTTACAGCAGGCAAGACGTACATACGTAACTCTGCGGACATTTCTTCACAGTGTCATGTCCTCTTCGCCCCCCCCCCCCAACACGATGCGTCCACTTTATACTACAGACTCCGTAGATAATAATGTTTTACTGCTTACATACCATTATTCTTGCACGGGCGGGGGATGCTGGGGGGGGGGGGGTAGCGGCCCAGCCCCTAGCCTGGCAACGTGCCAACTCCGCCGCCTCGCCAATGTAGGCCAGGACGGGGGCTAAGCATGGCACAAGGCCTCAACACGCCTATGCTAAGTACAGAGTTCCTTGCTTCTTACGCTAACAACTCAAGTCCATTGTTTACTATTGTTAAACACATTAGTTTACAAACATTACAATAATAATGTTTGTGTGCTGATAAAAATATGCTTCATTGCTTAATATTATGAAACAAATACGTTGCCAGATATTACTATATATATATCTTTGTGTGCACATACCAACTCTGGTTCATTGTTTATCTTTCATTTACACTTATCTCTGCTTATTTCTTAAATGCATCTCTATTGTTTCCATCGCTCACGTCACGCTATTTACTCATACGTAGTACTGCGATACTGATAGCTGTGCCATCATCGGGATTGTTGTGCCCATCGATGTGTGTGTATGAGTCCACGTGTGTGTCTTTGAGTCCATATGTTTGTGCGTGTAGAGCCATGCGTGTCTTTAACTCCATGTCTGTCTTTTTCGAACGGACAACGCCCGATGTGTGTGTGTACGTCAAAGTGTTTGTGTGTGTGTGTCAGTCCAAGTGTGCGTGTAAGTCCATTTGTGTGCGTATCAGTAGCTGTGTGTGTGTTAGTCCATGTGGTGTGTGTTAGTCCATGTGTGGTGTGTGTTAGTCAATGTGTGTGCATGGCTCCATCTGAGTGTGTATGTGTATTCGTGTGTCTATGTGTGTCAGTCGATGTGTATGTGTGTGTTAGTCCATATGTGTGTGTGTGTAAGTCCACATGTGTGTGTAAGTCCATACATGTGTGTGTGTCTCACTCGATGTGTGTGTGTAAGTCAGTGCGCGTGTGTGAGTCGACATGTGTGTGTTAATCCATGTGTGTGTCAGTCTATGTATGTGTGTAAGTACATGTGTGTGTAAGTACATGTGTGTGTAAGTAATGTGTGTGTAAGTACATGTGTGTGTAAGTACATGTGTGTGGGGAGCGGTAGTGTAGCGGTTAGCGCGCTGCGCTATGAACCTGGCGACCCGGGTTCGATTCCCGCTCACGGCTAACACCAGTGACGATTATCTGAACCGGTCCTGGGCCTCCCCTAGGTCGACTCAGCCTTAAATGAGTACCTGGTGCGGTGTGTAAACATCGCCACTGGGGAGACAAAGGCGGTCGGGCGTGGTGCTGGCCACCTACCCCCTCATGTACCGTTCCGGCCTTCATAGGTGCTCGTTAACAGCACTTGCCCCTACAGTCTGTTAAGGCTATACGGGGGATCTTTGTTTATGTCAATGTGTGTGTTAGTGCACGTATGTCTGTGTGTGATTCCATGTGTGTGTGTCTGAGTCGCTGTATGTGTGTACGTCCATATATGTGTGTGTAACTCCATGTGGGTGTATCTAAAGTGGATGTCTATGCGTGTGTGAGTCCATATGTATGTGTGCGTCAGTCCATGTGTGTGTGTCTTAGTCCATATGTGTGTGTGTGTGTAAGTACACCCAATTCAAGAGCCGAATGGCTCACAGGGCTATACCTAATAAATGAACTTGAACTTTAAATGTGTGTTTACGTCAATGTGTGTGTGTCAGTCCACGTATGTCTGTGTGTGAGTCGGTGTGTATGTGTGTGTGTGAGTCCCTGTATGTGTGTACGTCGATATGTCTGTGTAACTCCACGTGTGTATGTCAAGTGTGTGTGAGTCCATATATGTGTGTGTAAGTCGATGTGTTTGTGTGAGTCGATATATGTGTGCGTCTCAGCCCATGTGCGTGTGTGTTAGTCGCTTTGTGTGCGTTGCTCCTTGTGAGTAAGTGTAAGTCCATTTCTTTGCGTGTCTGTAGGTCCATGTGTGCGTGCGAGTGAATGTATGTGGTTTATTGACCTGCTCAAGGCCTATGATACCATCAGTAGGCCTGGCCTCTGGGTTGTTCTTCGTGCTTTCGGAGTCCCTCACCCTTTGCTCACGATCCTTAGGACCTTCATGATGGTGAGCGGCCCCACGTCAAACTACGTGGCCGTCAGTCAGAGCCATTCCCTCTACACCTTGGGGTGTGACAGGGATGTCCTCTGGCTCCCACATTATTTACATATCTTTTGACCACGTAGTTCGTGAAGCCTTCAGTGACCTATACCGGTGGAATTACCATATGGTACAGATACAATAAGAGGCTGATCGACGCCCGGGTGCGGTTCAAGGGATGCCTCCCTATTGCTCAACCATGTTATGTATGCCGATGCTCTGGTGATTGCTGCTCACTGCTGCTGAACCTGGAGCTTGTCACTAAGAGGTGGGGCCTCACCATCAGCCCCACCAAAACTAACCATCTGCCTGGGTATTTTATACCATCGAACAATCCAGCCCCACAACTACAATTGGTGATGCGGCAGTTGTGGAGAGTTGGAGAGATTCCCATACCTGGCCAGTGTGCTCATGACCGGCTCCAGTTTGACAGCAGAGGTCTCACTCCAAATTAGTCGGGCGCCATTATCTTTTCATCGGCTGCGTTTACGCTGTGTGGAAGCTACCTGGTCTCTCGCTCCGCATGAAGCACCAGGTCTTCTCAGCCACGGTAATTCCCTCCCTTCTCTACGCTTGCAAAACATGCACCCCCCTAATGGAACATCTTCGCTGGTTACAAACATTTAGGCTGGCCTGCTAACGATACATCCTGCACTTAACCATATGTGTGTGTGCATCTAAGTCGATGTGTTTCTATGTGTGTAGGTCGATGTCTGTGTGTAAGTCTCACATGTGTGTCTGCCTTTTCGCCCGGGCAACGCCGGGTACTTACCGTAGTAATGTTATAAATAAGAGGTTGCTACATAACATGATGGAGCAGCTGGAAGGAGTGAATCCAAACTAGGCATGGAAGGAATTTCCCTCCTGATGGTTTCATGAATTGCCATGATTGGATTGCAAATTCGGCTCAAGAATCTGTTCTTTCGTTACCATTGCAGTGGCTGTCGGAAGCAACTGCGAATCCATGAGATGCAACAGAAACATACAAACAACGCTGACTTGTAAAACAATGACGAGGTGATGCACTCCATCTGGTGAGCGTCTCTAGGGACACGCATTTACATCTTGTCATGAGTAACGGCACAATAATATGTAGTAGTAGTAGTGTTAGTGTATAGCAGTATAGTGTAGTGTACAGTAGTGTAGTGTACAGCAGTATAGTGTAGTGTACAGTAGTGTAGTGTATAGTAGTTAGTGTACAGTAGTGTATAGTGTAGTGTATAGTAGTGTACAGTGGAGTGTATAGTGTAGTGTATAGTAGTGTAGTGTATAGTAGTGTAGTGTCTAGTAGTGTATAGTGTAGTGTATAGTAGAGTAGTGTATAGTGTAGTGTATAGTAGTGTAGTGATAGTAGTGTACAGTGTTGATAGTAGTGTAGTGTATAGTAGAGTAGTGTATAGTGTAGTGTATAGTAGTGTAGTGTATAGTGTAGTGTATAGTAGTGTACAGTGTAGTGTATAGTGTAGTGTATAGTAGTGTAGTGTATAGTAGTGTAGTGTATAGTAGTGTAGTGTATAGTAGTGTAGTGTATAGTAGAGTAGTGTATAGTGTAGTGTATAGTAGTGTAGTGTATAGTAGTGTACAGTGTAGTGTATAGTAGTGTAGTGTATAGTAGAGTAGTGTATAGTGTAGTGTATAGTAGAGTAGTGTATAGTGTAGTGTATAGTAGAGTAGTGTATAGTGTAGTGTATAGTAGAGTAGTGTACAGTAGTGTCTAGTAGTGTATTAGTGTAGTGTATAGTAGTGTACAGTGTAGTGTATAGTATTACCTTCCGTCTCTTGCTGTTCCTGCTGCTGTGTTCAAGGCCGTGACTTGACGGGACTTCTTGGTTCCGCTCAAGGCCTTCTTTGCAGGCTTTGCCTTGTCGCCATTTTCATCGTCAGAATTGGTCACCGCTTGAGACATTTTGCTGGCGGAAGAGAGGCCGATGAGAAGTCACCGTCTGTGGCGATGCAACACGCACACACATTGACGCGCGTACATCGCTGGGTTTGTTAAACCGATAACCATTTTCGGAATCAAATGGCGGTTATGAAAGTCGGGAATTGGCAATTGTTTACGGTGAGATTTTACTACCGGTGCAGAGGGCCTCCACAAGAGGGAGCTGAAAAGAGGAAATTGCCTACTCTCCCACGCTGCGCAGACACATTGGTAGAGGCGGCAAAGCGCCTCCTCGACCACACACGACCAAGCGCGGTGAACTCATTGACACCGCTGGGTGGAAGAGAGGTGGGGAGGGGATTTAAGAGACTTTCCACGTCGGGATATGGAGTTGAACCAGCGGCTTCTGGATTGCAAGCCCACCGCGCTAACCACGGCAGCTCCATTGCGGATGGATCTAATGCGATTTTACTTTGGTAATGAAATATGACTTGTAATCATTTAAATAAGCCAACGAGTCAATGACCATAATTACAATCGTAACCATCACTACTGTCCACCACGTCGTCTGCCCATAACCATCATATGTATAGATACCTCACATTCTACTCACCGTCGTCTTCAAAGTCCTCAGGCTGAGTATAATCAAATTTCTTGAATCTGCAACACCAATCATTTGGATAAAAGAAAAACAACGAAAGATCAATTCAGGAATAAATCACATTACGTACATGGATTCACGGGCCCACTTGCTGTACTGCCAGGACACCAGTGCACTGAATTACAATGACACAATGCAAAGCAAGTGCCATGGCAGTGCCTATCGATCTGCAAAGGCGGTTGTCAATCAATGACATTGACGCTGCATTGAAACTCGTCGTCATCGATGAACATGACTCCGGGCCAATCAACGAACATAAAGTGACACCAACTAACGGCCATGACATGTAGCCCGCCAACACTGTCCCAACTGATCCGATGTACCAATGTCATCAATTACACTATACACTACACTGTACACTACACTGTATACTACACTACTATACACTACACTATATACTACTAGACACTACACTACTATACACTACACTATACACTACACTACTATACACTACACTATACACTACTAGACACACACTACTATACACTATAAACTACTCTACACTACACTAATCAACACTAATATACACTACACTAATATGCACTACACTACTAAACACTATACTACTATACACTACACTATATACTACTAGACACTACACTACTATACACTACACTATACACTACTATAAACTACTCTACACTACACACTACACTAATCTACACTATAAACTACTCTACACTACTATACTATGAACTACACTACTCTACACTACACTGTACACTGCTATACACTACTCTACACTATACACTGTACACGACTATACACAATTGGTTGTTTACCCTTCTATCTGGCAACAAAACTGACACCTTTTGTTGCCAGATAGAAGGGGTAAACAACCAATTATCAACCCCCTCACCAGTTGCTGTGCCGGGTGGTGGCGAGTTTAACGACACAACATTTACACATTGACGCGATCTGCCCCAACCAACAACAACAAACTCCCTCTCTGTTATGAATCAGCCACAGAGCCACTCACGCACCTGAGTAGCCTCGGCATGTCAACTGAAGTCTCTCACCCCCCACCCCAATACAACAACCACAAGCCACCAACGAGCAATAAAACTAAAAAAAACACGCGGATAAGAGCCGCGATGACGTCGATAAACAACAACGATGAGGGATTTCCCTCAACGTGAGGGAAGTGAACGCCAACTTTGTATAACTGTGAAGTTGTATCAAGTTAAACTTTTGTCGATTAACGCGAATTAGCGAGTTTGGCGCGAAGCCAGATTTGCAAAGCGCACGAGGGGGACAAAGCCGCTGATTCCTCGCAGCCAGTTTCGTCACGACGCCGATTGTGGTGGTCACGATACAATAATAAAAACAACTTACGTTTACAATATTGTGAGTATGGGTTTAATCTCGTTTAAAATGCGTACAATTAAATAATGTATTTATTACGGGAGGGAGGGGTGTTTTATTTATATAAATGTTGTGGATTGCGTCAAGGCAGAAGAAGATGGGTGAATGTGTTAACGAATGCGGTAAGCGAATGATCGGTTGGCAGCGTCTTTTCCACGGGGGGTTGTGGGTCACGTGGTGTCACCCCCCCCCCCCCCCCCCGGCTTTCGTGATTGGGTGGGTGGGTGGAGGGTGAATTTTGACTTTAAACTTTAATATTCTTGGTTCTTACAGGTAAAGTCACGGAGATGTAAAATAAATAAAAAAAATAATAAAATTACATTTTAATTAAAAATAATAAGTTTGAAGTCTAAATAATAAATTGGGTGTTTTGCTTTTATTATTTTTAATTAATTATACTTTTTTATTTTTTTACTTTATATATTCGTGACTTTACAAAAAGAACCAAAAACTTGAATTCCTGCAGTCACGAAAGTTTTAAGTCAAAATTTAATACGACTTTGCATTTACCATTCTATTAATTGAACGTTGCCTTGCAGTGAAACTCGGTTCATAACTCACAAAGGCAGAATCATATGTGTCAGTGTTCACAAGAGCCCATGAACTCAGTAGAGAGCCACAGGTGACAGCGCGTGGCGACACCGACACACACAAAGCGCGCGTCTGGGGGGACATCTCCCACTGCCGCTGCAGTGACCACCTCCATCAGCCGCACTGCTCTCGGTGCCTGAGCTGGACTCACTTTACACCGCTGGGAACCTCCTGGTTACACCAGCCCACAGGGGATTGTTGTGTCCGTCCGTCCGTCGTGCATAAAAAAATGGGAGGCGTGGGGCTGGGTGGAGAGGGGAGGGCTGGGTGGGGAGGAGCTGGGTGGGAGGGTGGGGGTGGGGAGTGGGGAGGGGTGGGGAGGGTGGGGCTGGGGTGGGGAGGGTGAGGAGGGTGAGGAGGGGCTGGGTGGGGAGGAGCTGGGTGGGGAGGGGCTGGGTGGGGAGGGTGAGGAGGGGCTGGGTGGGGAGGGTGGGGCTGGGGTGGGGAAGGTGGGGCTGGGTGGGGAGGGTGGGGCTGGGTGGGGAGGGTGAGGAGGGGCTGGGTGGGGAGTGGCTGGGTGGGGAGGGTGAGGAGGGGCTGGGTGGGGAGGGTGAGGAGGGGCTGGGTGGGGAGGGGCTGGGTGGGGAGGGTGAGGAGGGGCTGGGTGGGGCTGGGTGGGGAGGGTGAGGAGGGGCTGGGTGGGGAGGGGCTGGGTGGGGAGGGGCTGGGTGGGGAGGGGCTGGTCACCCCGTGGTGCCCTCTGCACGCGAGTGAGGAGCACCGCCCTGAGCGCGCCGTGTCAGTGCAACATCCACGTGGGCGCTGCGGGGAGGGAGTCAGCGCACGTGGTGGGGTGTGAGCGCGGTGAGGGAGGGAGAACGGGGAGAGAGACAGGGAGAGGGTGGAGGAGAGAGATGGGGGGGGGGAGATGTGGTGGGAAATGACTTTGACACAGTCCACTGGGCATCTGTAATTGGGTGCTCATCATCAAGTTCTCATTCAGTGGTGGAAAGTCCACGTTCATATGGTCGATCCAGATTTCGGAGATTTTTAACATCGTGGCTCACAGCGCCGCCTGGTGGAACGAAAGGGCATCGCAAACATCCTCCAGCGAATATCTTTATTTGGAGCTTTCGTGACTGCAGGAATGACTCTTTGGTTCTTTCGGTAAAGTGACGTAAAAAGATAAAATAATAAATTTAAAAATAGCATACGACGTTTCGATTGCAACACAAGCAATCGTCATCAGGTATAAAAGAAATAAAAAATCTAACCATAAAACTATAGACAGACACACAATCAGACAGATCTATATTTAAGGCCCCGTCACAGAAACGACCTATCTCTTTGTGCCGATGTATTCTCTCTGTGTGTCCTTGTGATGTCTGTCTGCTTGTGTGTCTGTCTATAGTTTTCTAGTTAGATTTTTGTTGCTATTTCTTTTATGCCTGATGATGATTGCTTGTGTTGCAATCGAAACGTCGTAATATGCTATTATTCAATTTATTATTTTATCTTTAGACGTGACTTTACCGAAAGAACCAAAGAATAATTCCTGCAGTCACGAAAGCTCCAAAACTAACATTTAAATGTGGTAAGCAATGTGGGACATCGATGTACACAGATATGAACAAGATCAGCAGACGAGACGTCTTTCATTTAATCGGTCTCTCCACGAAACAAAGGAACGTTTTACACAAAATATAAATCCCACGGCCTTGTGCGAGTCCATGACTAGTGCAGCAGTGACTCAGTGCGAGGCAGCTGTGGACCGGTTCTTGTGCACGATGTCTCAACAGCAGTCAGGGCTCGCTTCTACCCACGGTTGTCAACATCCAGACGTTCATCAGCAAGGAACATTTCTTGTCCTAGTTCACCAACATAAGACGTCATACAAAATCCTAATTAGCGTTGGGTAGAATGTATCTACTCGATGTGCTCTGCCTTGTAACTGAACACAAAATTGTAAAAAAAAATGCATTTTAAATGTGCTCTTAAAATTACCTCCTTGCTATGAAAGAATTCAGACTTTACATATTTCATTTATCGATCTCTCCACGAAAGGAATGTTTTAAACTATAACCATCACGGCCTTCTGGGAGTGCATCATTGATTCAGTGCAAGCCACCTATGGACCCTTATTGGTGCACAGCGTCTCAACAGCAGCCGGGCTTGCTTCAACCCACGGTTATGAACCTCCAGACGTGAATCAACAAGGAGCATTTATCGTCCTAGTTTGACAAAGTCTCTGTCAACACGTAATACAAAATTATAATTCGTGTTGTAGAGAATGTATCTCCTCTACGTGTAGCGTTTAAGCGGTACGCCTTGTAACTGTTGGATGATCCGAGCGTGCTCCCTATTGCATGCTGCCTACTCCAGAGGCAGATACTTCCTTGAAACACAAAAGTACCCTTTGAGCTGTATCACAAGAATAACGGGTCTAACCTGAGTAATCTCTACAGGCTACTTACAAACACACAACACACACTTTGCCCCAACATCACTTATTCGATGTTTGACCCTCAGACAAAATGTTCAATGTACGCGCACAATCAGACAAGTATTCATTCTAAACTACTGACAGGCATATTGACAAATTGAATAACTGCAGTGAAACTTACTGCATCGGTAAAGTCACGGAGAAATAAATTAAATAACAGAATACGACGTTCGATTGGAATACAAGCAACCATCATCAGGTGCACAATGTGAATGAGAAAACATAGTGAACTTAGAAATATAATGCAACACAACACAGAGTCGGCCAACACAACAGTCAACACCCTACCTGGTTGATTACGTTCTTCCAAAATTGAACCAATTTAGTTTAGATAACATCTTATTAACAAGGAGCTATTTAAAGAATGCACCCTCTACTGAACAGTGGATGTGAAAACACACAATTAGCAATTCAAACGAGTAGGCCTTTGCATGCTGGCGTCTGGGTCAAAAATGTAGCAAATTCTAAACATTACCTACAAACGACACAGCTGAGATGACACATCAATCATCGCTCCCCACTGACAGGCTCTTGTCCACACGCAGGCACGGTGCAGGGCACACCATCTTGTGCCACACAGGGGCAGCTGCCAATTGGGGATGTTTCGAGTGTTTGAGACGAGGTACGATACAAAACTCCGAGTTGCTGAGCGGATTAAGTCAGCACCATGTAAAATCAATTATTATGAGAACATCGTGAATGCTTGAGAGCTTATTGGCTCTCGCTCCTGGTTAGAGATCTACCCAACACACAGGTCCACAAAGACTGGCCGCTCCTACCCTGCAGGTTGAACCTAGGAACTGAGTGTTCAACTTCACATTCTTGTCATTAAAGGCCTGTGGACAACGGTGCATCTATTGGAGCGACATTGTCTCTGGCTTAAACATCTAACCGTGTCTCCATTTGACTTCGTGTTGTCTCGGAGGAAGTCCACCCACACCTCCACTTCCACAAAACTGCTGGGAGTTGCTTCGCTCTGCCTCACAGTCAGAATTCTCCTCCTGCTTCACGTTGCCTCCATCGATGTGAAGGTCCCATTTTGGAATTTAATCTTCATCTCACTCTTCACCATCACTTCTTCACATTCCAACTTCACCTCTTCATATTTCACCTTGATACCTTTAAAAGTGTCCAAGCTGGGATTTTCTTCCGGTTCTTGTTTCACAAGGGATGGGCTCATTGCAGCACTTTGACTTTCACAAGCTGATTTCAGACTCCGCTCCTTGTTGGATCTTCTGATGCTTGTGTGTTCTCTGGTGTCTTTGAAGATGTGTCTGACTGTGCAAATGCCTTCCCGCACGGAGTGCACTTGAGGATTTCCTCTCCCTGTGTGAGTTCTCTGGTGTACTTGAAGATTGGAAGAATCTGAAAACGCCTTCCCGCCACGTGATGCACTTGAAGAGGTTTCTCTCCTGTGTGTGTTTCTCTGGTGTCTTTTAAGATCTGATGACTGTGCAAATGCCTTTCCACACACACTGCACTTGAAGAGTGTATCTCCCGTGTGTGTTTCCTGTGTTTTTTAAGATCTGATGAACGTGCAAATGCCTTCTCCACACACACTGCACTTGAAGGGTTTCTCTCCTGTGTGTGTTCTCTGGTGT